CCCTGGGAGACCTGTTCAAATCCCAGCCATGACAAATGGTAGGATTTACACTCAATTAACGGACCTGGAATCATAATCTAATCTCCTTGTGAATTAAAGAGGTGAATGCCTAGACCAGTAATCTAGAAACACAAGTAATATTCTAGGGTTAGATCCAGGTTTGAATGGTAGATCGTGGAATTCAAATCCAATTTTAAAAAATGTGGAATTAAGGGTCGAATGATGACAATGAAACCATTCTCAACTGTAAGAAAAAGACTAATCTGATTCACTAATGTCCTTTAGGGAAGGAAACTGCCGTCCTTACCTGTTCTGGCCTACAGGTAACTCCAGGCCCACAGTGATGTAGTTGAATTGTTAGGGTTGGTCAATGTATTCTGGCCTAGCCAGCAATGCCCACATCCTGTGAATGAATTACAACAAATTGATTGTTTACCAGTGGAATTCACTACCATAGAAAATAGTAAGGACAAAACATTGTGTTTTCAAGGAGGAGGTAGATATTCCTCTTGTGGTTAAAGTGGGGGGAGGGTGGGATTAGAATTTTGGGTTTGATGATCAGCCATGATCATATTGAATGGCAGAGCAGTCTTAAGTGGATGACAGGCCTCCTCCTGCTCCTATCTTCTACATTTCAATGAAACTATACCCCCTATCTCTGTTCTGCTCTGATAAACAAACGTAGCTGACTTTTGTAGGTCAAATCTCCTCCTCCACCTCCTATATTTATCTGGGCAATTTCTGTTGTAGTAACTGGGAACTTATTGGTATGGCCCTGTCACATTATGCACCCGGTGTTTACGTGGGCAATCCTCTCACACAATGTGAACTGAGTGATTGATGAACAACCCCAGTGACATCCCTTTGAAGTTTCTATGTGTGTAACGGCATGATGTAATTTGTAAGACATTGTGAGAAGTGGGTGGAATACGTAGCTGCTGTATCTGGACTCTAAGGCTCTAAGGCTCCAACAGCAGATCTATGGCTGGGAATACTGCAGTGAGTAACTCAGCTCCTGACTCCCCAAAGCCCGTCCACCCTCAGGAGTGTAATGGAATACTGGATGGGGGCAGCTCCAACAACACTCAAGAAGCTCAATACCATCCAGGACAAAGTAGCCCACTTGATTAATATTTCACAGCACCTTCAGCATTCAGCCCTTCCACTTCTGACACACTGTGTGTTTCAGCTATCAGACGCATTGCAGCAACTCACTGACTCTCTGTCGACGATATTTGTAAAGGTCAGTCTTCTCAAAGGGTTAAGCGTGAAGACTGCACTGAGTTCTGTCCGATCTCTGGTGTCGAGGGGACCTCTGTGCAGAAAGGCAGAACTGCTGTGGATCTCCAGGAAAAGGATCTACTACATTGGTCTCAACACATAACATATACCTGATTATTATCGCGCAGTAAACTAAAGCTTCTTTAAGGCTAAAGCTTCAGATTACCTTGTGGTTTTCCTCAACCTTTTTTGACTAGGGCAACCCTGCAGATGCAGTCAGGAAAAGGGATCGTCGCAGCTATCTACCCAACAAGATTTTAGCAATGGTTGGCATCGCTAACTCATACGACAGACAGTGTCTTCCCAACCTGCGACCTATACTACCAAGTATGCTGCCAGTCACTCACCACCCTGACTTAGAAATGTATCACTGGGTTAAAATCCTGCAGCTCCCTCCTTAACAACATCGTGGATGTGCCTAGAACACTGGCAGCTCATCACCAACTTTTCAAGGGAATTAATATTCACATCCACAGAGTACAGCCACATCCCAAGACAGAAAGTGTTCTCACTCTAGGGCCAATATCATGAAACACTTAGCTCACACAACACCAGCCTGAGTACACTGCTGTAGCAAGTCATCATTGTCTGACCAGACCGTAGAGAGAGATGGTCACTAGAGAGAGAGAGAGGGAGGGAGGTGACTGGTGGTGGCTTAACCTGAGGGTCACCATGCCTCAGGTGAGGGGAGCAGTTGAGAAGGAGAGTACTTCCTGTTAACCCCTGTCGGTGATGGGAATTGAACCCATGCTGTTTACGTTACTGAGCTAACCAGCACCTGGATGCTGTCATAGTGAGAGGGGATGGGGAGGTGTTTAATCTGATGAAGGTAAGGATGTTAAGATGGTTGAACCTTTCAAAAGGGGGTTTAGCCATCTCTTGAAGGCAAAGTCTCCGAGTCACAAATCCTTAAAAATATGCCCCCTAGTCTTGCAATTATTAAATCATTGGGTTCATTAGTAAACTTAAAGCATGTGGGATAGGAGACTAGATACTAATTAGACCTCAGCTGACATATTGTGTACAGTGCTGAGCACCACATTACAGGAAGGATGTGAGTACATTGGAGAGAGTGCAGAAGAATGGTTCCAGGGATGAGGAACTTCAGTGATGGGGATCAATTGAAGAAGTTGGGACCGTACCCCTTGAAGAGAAGAAAGCTGGGAGGAGATTTGATCGAGGTTCGCAAAATTGTGAGCAGACTGGTCAGAGTAGATTGGGAGGAGCTGTTCCCGCTCATAAAAGGAACAAGAACAAGATGGACATAGATTTAAAGAGATGTGAAAAAGAAACAAAGATGATGTGAGGAAAGAAACACTTTCACTCAGCGAGTAGTTAGGTTATGGAATGCACTGCCTGGAAATGTGGCGGAGACAGATTCAACTGAGTATTCAGGAGGGACATTGGATGGTGATTTGGCTAGAAATGGTGTACGGAGGTGTAGGGAACATTCAGGAGATTGGCACTGGGTAATGATGCTCATTTGAAGAATTTGTTCCCTTCTGTATCATAACAATTTTATGAGCTAATAATTTTATGAACAGACAGAAAACCCTAACCCTATCATGTTGGTAGGCTGTGGCTAGTGGGAGACCACAAGGATAACAATCTAGATCAATGAATCAGGGACCACATGTAATATTTCCAAATTCACTGTCACACAAAGCTGAGTGGGAATGTATGTTGTGAGGAAGGCGTAAAACATCTTACAGGGGTATTTGGACAGGTTTAGTGATTGGCCAAGAACCTGTCTGTTAGAATATGATGTGGAAAAATATGAGGTTATCCTGTTGGGAGAAGACGCAGATGTGCAGAGTATTTCTTAAATGTAATGAGGTTGGAAAGTGTAGAAGTGCAAAGGGGCCTTAGTGTCTTTTTCAATAAGTTACAGAAGGTTGACATGCAGGTGCAGCAAGTTATGAGATAGACTAATGGGTTTTATTACAAGAGGATTTGAGTTCCATTGGGCTTCCTGATTACCTGCTGCACCCATGTGCTAGCTTTCTGTGTTTGTGCACAAGTCCCCCCATGTCCCTTTGTGTAGCAGCTTTCTGCAGTTTCTCTCCATTTAAATAATACTCTTTTCTTTTGTTCTCCCTTCCAAAATGAACAACTTGGCATTTTCCCACATTATACTACATTTGCCACCTTTTTGCCATTTACTTAACCTATTAATATCTCTCTATAAACTGTTTGTATCTTGCTTTTCCACCTAGTTTAGTGTCTAAAAATTTGGCTACAATAAATCCGCTTCCTTCCTCCAACTCATTAATATATACTATAAACTGATGCACTGGTGCTTGTGGAGCTGGTTAGTGGGCATCAACATGAAAAACAATCCTTTATCCTCATTCACTGCTTCCTGTCCATTAGCCAATCCGCTATCCAAGCCAATATACTGTCACCAACACCATGAGCTCTTATCTTATGACATAACCATTTGTGAGGTCCCTTTTCGAATGTCTTCCAGAAGTCCAAATACAACACATCTACTGGTTCCCTTCTATCCACTCTGGTTAAGACTTCCTCAAAAAGTTCAAATAAATTCATCAGACATTATTTCCCTTTCATGAAGCCATGCTGATTCTGCTTGATGAGATTATGATTTGCAGCCTTCAATGATTTATGCACGTGAATACCCAGATCTGTCTGCTCCTGCACTCACTTTGGAATTGTACCCTTTATTTTATGCTGTCTCTCCATGATCTTCTGACAGAAATGAAACCCCTCTCACTTCATTCATCTGCCACTTCTCCATTCATTCCAGTTACATTTCTATGTCCGGCAGAGCTATAATGACAGCGGGTGAATTTGGTTACATTCAGGAGGATTTCTGCATTCTCTGTAATGCCTTTCTAAAGAACTACACACAATGCCTGGTCTGGAGGGTTTTAGTTATAAAGAGGGATTGGATAAACTTGGATTGGTTTCGCTGGAAAGACAGAGGTTAAGTTGCGATCTGATAGATGTCTACAAAATTATGAGAGACACAGATAGGTTGGATAGTCAGAGGCTTTTACCAGGGTGGAAATGTCAACTACAAGAGGATGCAGGTTCAAGGTGAGGGGCGAAGGTTTAGGGGAGGAGCGCGACGAAAATGTTTCACCCAGAGGGTTGTGCCTGGAAAGCAGGGCCAGTGGAGATGGTGGAAGCAGGCTCATGAGCAATGTTTAAGGTGTATCTTGAGGTGAAGAAAGGGGTAGATACCACTTGTGGGCAATAAGGATTAGAATCAGCACAGGTGGGCTGAAGGGCCTGTTCCTGTGCTGTATTGAATTGTATTGTATATAATTGTGTAATATTCCAACAGTGGCTGAACTAGTGTCTTACATAAGTTCAACATAGTCTTCTGACTCAAGTATTCTATGCCCCTATGAATAAAACCTGGGATACTGTACACTTCACCGTATTTCTGTGTACCTTTGATTTAATTCAGTCACTGACAGTGGAATGAAACAAAAGATTTTGCAACATTTGGTCTTTCACGGTTAATTTGTTGGTTTAGAGGTACAAGTTCGAAGAGTGTTCCACATCCTTAAATACTTTGGTCCCTCACTTTTGATGTTGAAATTGTTTAAATCTGCTTTTTTTTTCTTTAAATGTGCCCTAAACAGAACCTTGACAATGAACGACAAAAGTAATCATTCTGAAAAGAAGCAGGATTACGCCATGGAAAATGCAGCATTTGAATTGGAGGTGAGCACATTCGCATATTCTTCAATCCACTTCAGTCAGAGTGAGATTGTTAAAACCATCAGATTTTGTTAAACTTATCCCTTCCTTCTGTAGGAAGATGCATCTTCCAAACATCAAGATGACGCAAAGCCTGAGTCACTCACAGGCAAGAGAAATGCCAAATTTCTGAAGTATGTAGTTATTTTGTTCATATTGCAGTTCATCTGTTTGATTCCAGGGGAGGGGGATAAGGATTTCTGAATATTAGCAACAGGAGGAGACCATTCTGTCCCTCAAACTGAATTTATTCAACACGACTATGGTTGATTGACCTATTGACCCCATTAGCTGCCCTTGCCCCATACCTCTGCGCAGCCTCACTAGTCTGTGTCCTATCATCCACAGGCTATGGAGACAATTTCTGCTGAGATGCTGCCTCATTTCACTTTTGATGGCCCAGATCAAATTTTAAGATTGAGTCATCTCACTCTAGATTCTAGGCCCTGTACCACACCACTCCCTGCACCCAAAGGGACAGTTTCTTTATTTCTAGCCTGACAAATCTATTAATTATTTGGAATAACAGATCATCGCTGCAACCTTATAAATCCCTGAGGATACAGGTCAAGTTTAGGCTGCATAACTTAATGCCTTCTGCTTTGGCATCATTCAGATCAATCTGCACCGTGCATTCTCTGTTCTTTCAGAAGACCCTGCTTGCAAAACCCCAATATAAAATGTCCATGGTCAGATGTGATTTCTCTATCTGACAGCGTTTGCTGAATTTCACCTGTGAGAAGTGGACCCAACTCCAGCTCCTCACAGACCGCATGAGGGAACTGGAGCTGGAGCTGGATGAACTCCGGATCATTCAGGAGGCTGAGAGGGTGATAGGAGTTATAGGGAGGTTGTCACACCCAAGTTACAGGATAAAGGATCTGGGTGACCGTCAGGAGAGGGAAAGGGAATAGGCAGATAATGCAGGGATCCCCTGTGGCCGTTCCCCTCAATAATAAGTATACCGTCTTGGATATTGTTTGTGGTGGGGGGGGAATAACCTACCAGGGGAAAGCCATAGCGGCCAGGTCTGTGGCACTTAGCCTGGCTCTGTGGCTCAGAAGGGACTGAGGGAGAATAGGACAGCGATAGTGATAGAAGATTCAATGGTTAGGGGAACAGACAGGAGGCTCTGTGGTCACGAATGGTTTGTTGCCTCGTGGGTGCCAGGGTCAGGGATGTCTTGGATCAAGTCTACAGGATTTGCAATCAAATATGTTCAAGAATTGCGAGATAGCAAGAACTGCAGATGCTGGAGTCAGAGACGACACAGTGTGGAGCTGGAGGAACACAGCAGGTCGGGCAGCAACAGAGGAGCAGGAAAGTTGACGTTTCGGGTCGGGACCCTTCTTCAGAAAAGAAGAGTTTCTTTACTTCTGAAGAAGGGTCCTGACCCAAAATGTCAACTTTCCTGCTCCTCTGATGCTGCCTGGCCTGCTGTGTTCATCCAGCTCCACACTGTGTTCAAGAATTGCACCTTTTTTTGTATTACTTGGGAGCTTGGGGAACCTATAGTTCCAGATGTTTCCCCCATTGGACCACCTCAGCCAATTGGAGTCAAGTTGCCAAACCAATCAGTACCCTTTTCTTGTGTAGCGTACGTTGCTATGATCATTTGAAGTTAGTAATTATTGACAGGGAACCAGTTGTGCACCATTCCACAAACGGTCATCTTAACCCTGGTCACCTCATCATTTCGCAATTTAATCAGATCAATGATACTGGAAGTGAAAGATTTTACCCCTGAACAGTAGGAGGCACTCCTGTGATAGTGGCCATTAAGGGACTGTGAAAGAACAGAGCAGATGAATCTTTACTCTACAATTAGCTGTGCTAGAGAGGATGAGAAGACACTGACAGTTAGTATCAAAGGGTATCCAAAAATTTTCCATTGGCATTTAAATAGGGAAAAGGGCACTAAGAGGGGTAAGTGGGTCTAATTCAGGATCAAAACAGGAATTTACAGATGGAAGTAGAGAGCTTAACTGAGGGATAAAATTCGTGCCTTGCATCTGACTTTATCAAGGAGAAAATGCTACCCAGGTCATTGTGAATGAGGAAGTGGTTCAGACACTTGAAGTGCTTAGAATTGATAAAGTGGTTTTAGATATTCTATCTGTTTTTAAAATTCGTAGGACATTAGTTGAGATGATCCAGGTTCCTGAGGGAAGTGGGAGTGGAATTACAGGGATACTGGCTGTAATGTTTGAATTCTCCTCTGTGTGGTATGTTGTAGAAAGGGTACAATAGAAGGGAGACAGTGATGTATATCTAATTGAAACATATAAAATTCTAACACGACTGGACACACTAGATGCAGGGAGGAAGTGCAATGGGGAGGCAATGGCCTAGTGGTATTATCCCTGGACTGTTAATCCAGAGACCCAGATAACATCTGGGGACCTGTGTTTGAATCCTGCCATGGCAGATGGTGGAATCTGAATTCAATAAATATCTGGAATTAAGAAGCTAATGATGACCGTGAATTCATTGTCGATTGTTGGAAAAACCCATCTGGTTCATTAATGTCCTTTAGGGAAGGAAACTGCCATCCTTACCTGGTCTGGCCTACATGTGACTCCAGACCCACAGCAATGTGGATGACTCTTAACTGCCCTCTAGACAATTAGGGAGGAGCAATAAATGCTGCCTGGCCAGTGATGCCCTCATCCCGTGAATGAATAAAGAGGAAAGGAAAAAGAATGTTTCCACCTGGGTGGAGAGTCTAGAACCACGGGTCACACCCTCAGAATACAGGGGTAGACCATTGAGGACTGAGATGAGGAAACATTTCTTCATTCAGAGGGTTGTGAACCTGTGGAATTATCTATGACAGAAGACTGTAGAAAGCAAGTCACTGAAAATATTCAAGAAAGAGATTGATACTTTCTTTTTATTCATTCACGGGATGAGGGCGTCACTGACCAGGCAGCATTTATTGCCCCATCCCTAATTGCCCAGAGGGCAGTTCAGAGTCAACCACATTGCTGTGGGTCTGGAGTCACATGTAGACCAGACCAGGTAAGGATGGCACTTTCCTTCTGTAAAGGACATGAGTGAAACAGATGGGTTTTTCCTGACAATTGACATTTTTAGATATTAAAGGCAGCAAGAGATATGGGGTGAAAGAGGAAATATGGTGTTGATGTAGAGGATCAGCCATATTGAATGGTGGGGTAGGTTTAAAAGGCTGAATGGCCTGCTCCTATCTTCTTTATTTTCGATGATGTAACTGTAATGTTAGCAGTCATGTGCAGGAGACAGTGTAGAAAGGAAGGTCTAGTGAATAATTTGCACTGACAGGAAACAGTATTATGTACAAATGGTGTAAACAAACTCAATGGAAACTACGAGGAGTCAGAAGCAGAGTCTGAGGTAGAGAAGAAACCACTACAGACCAGAAACCGCCAGCCAAGACAAAGACAGCACCTCCTTAATGCAAAGGAGAGACCAGTGATGACCAGCTGCCTTTCAGACTACAGGAAGGTTTAGAGTGACATGATCCAGAGATTCAAGTTAGGATCCTGGTACCTAAATGACCAAAAGATTAAAGTACACGGCACAACTTCAACCTTTGGAAATATTGTGGGTCACGAGGAGGATAACAGTAGAACATTACATGTTCATGGGCAAGTGAGTGAAATGTTTGGACAGGAGTCAGATGGAACTGAGCACAGAGAGGTGTGAACTAATTCATGCTGGTAGGAAGAACACAGATACGATAGAAAATAAAGGACACAATTCTGGGGGGGTGGTTCAGGAGCAGAGAGTCCTGGCTGTTTTTGTGTATAAATCCTTGAAAATGGCAGGAGATTTTGGAGAGTAAATAATAATGCATGCACCATCCTGGGCTGTTATTAACAGCAGCGTAGAGTTCAAGAACAAAGAATTAGAGCGGGTGCAGAAAAGATAGAGATGAACGAATCCAGGGACGTGAAGTTTCAGTCACTTGGATAAATTGGAGAAGTTGGGACAGTTCTCCCTGGAGAAGAGAATTCCAAGAGGTGATTTGATCGAGATGTTCAGATTCATGTGGATTCTGTACAGAGCAGAGAGGAACGATCAAGGACAAGAGGACACAAATTTCGGCTGGTTGCCCAGAGAAACAATGACAACAGGCAGCGAAAGCTTAGGTTTTGGAATGCACTTTCTAGGAGTGTGGTACAGGCCCATTCAATCCAGTCCTTCAGGAAGGATAATGAAGATTATGCAGGTTACAGGGAAAGGGCAGGGCAGTGGGATGGTAAGTTGCTTCAGTAAGGGGTCAGTATAGACACAAGCTGACTGGTCTCCTCCTCTCTGACCATTCTGTGGTTGTATAGCTGGCCTACACCTACAGAGGTGGATAGTAATTCTAATGGATTGATATTGTATCAACACCCCTGGTAGACTCAGTGCTTAATCCTCACCTCTTTAGAGGTGACTACCAGGTGAAGATGTATAACAGGCAGCTGATTGGAAACTTCACATTTCAGCTCAAGACAACTTTGACCTTGTTATTCCTACACTTTGAAATTAACAGCTCTCGCTCCAGTCGTCACAAAATTACCTAATTTTCTTTTTCATTCACTGGCTATTCTTTCCTGTCCCCTCCTCCCCTTCACAAAACAATTCAGATGTGAAGAGTGTTTCTGCTGCTCGTAAAGAGTATTGTAACTCATTCACAACATGGCACAGGAGTTGTAATGAAATAACAAGGTCACTGTCTCAACAAGTTGACCTCTCTCAATCTAACTCAAGTGATGATTTGCCCATGGAAGGTTTTTGATGCCTTAACTCGATGCCAAGGCACACAACACCAATTTGTTTGAGAGTCTCCATAGATAAATTGAAAAGGTTGACTCACGACATCGTATTGGGTCTGAACAACGGGTTAATAAATGGACGTTTCTGTTTTCCAGCAAAGTATCTCAGTCTGCCTCAAGAGTGAAGTCAGCGTACAAAGCCCACGCGTCTGTAATCAAGTGCATCATTGTGGGCATACTCCTTGCAGGTAAAAGGGACTGAATCTCATGATAAATAATTTGCTTTGCCGTCTGGGTTTAAACACGGCCCTGTGTAGAATTATGGGAGAGCTTGTGTTAATAATATGATTGAGCTCTGAATTACCAGTCACATGTGATTGAGACTCTGAGAAGTAAGGATTGGAAGATTTGTAGTGGGCAGCTGTATGATCAGTATTTTTTGCATTAGTGTGAATAAGAGCTTATTGGGAATCCTGACGGTAAGACAATAGTCACTATAAGATAAGGTACAGGTGCAGTGGGCTCTCTAGTGTAAATGAGGTGCTTCTACAATGCAGGGCACAACGTAGACACTCAAAACCCATGTTAGCGCAATCCACAAAGACTCAACAATGTAGACTGGAGAACCAAGGTGCTAGTGAAATGCATGGAGATGCCTCGAATCATCCCCTTAAGACCATAAGAAATAGGAACAGGAGTGGGCCATTTAGCCCCTCAAACCTGCCTTGCCATTCAATAAGATCATGGCTGACCCAACACTCCTCATGTCCACTTTCCTGCCCTTTCCCCTTAACTCTTGATTCTCCGATTGATCAGGAATCTAGCTATCTCAGTCTTAAATAAACACGTACTGTACCCCCTCAGCTCTGTAGCAAGGAGTTCCAAAGACTCACAATCCTCTGAGAGAAGAAATTCCTCCTCATCCCAGTCTTAAATAGGCACCCCTTTATTCTGGTCTTCACGCCGTCTAATCCTGGACTCTCCAATGAGGGGAACATCCTCTCAGCATTTACCCTGCCAAGCCCTTTAAGAATCCAATACGTTTCAATGGGATCACCTCTCATTCTTGTAAACTCCAGAGTTGAGTCTCAACCTGATTAGCCTTAGCTCATAATACAATTCCTCCATACCAGGATCATCCTTAGTGAACATTCTCTGACCTGTATAAGGTCACAGATGTTATACTGCATCTATACAAAGTCCTGGTTAGACCCCACTTGGAGTACTGTGAGCAGAACTGGGAACCATACCTTAGGAAGGATAAATTGGCCTTGGAGGGAGTACATCATAGGTATACAAGAATGATAGATGGACTTTAGGGGTCAAGTAATGAGGAGAGATTATACAAATTAGGCCTGTTTTCACTAGAATTTAGGTTTAGGTATTCAAAATATTAACATTAAAAGATGGGGTAGATAAAGATAAGTTATTTCCACTGGTTGGTGATTCTAGAACTAGGGGCACAAGTCTGAGAATGAGGGCCAGAGCGTTCAGGAGAGATGTTAGGAAGCAGTTCCACACATAAAGGGTGGTAGAGGTTTGGAACTCTGTTTCACAAAAGTCAGTTGATATTGGATCAGCTGTTAATTTTAAATCTGAGATGGATAATGTTTTGTTAAGCAAAGCTAATAAGAGATCATAGAATCGCTACAGTGTGGAAACAGGCCCTTCGGCCCAACAAGTCCAAACCGACACAAAGAGCATCCCACCCAGACCTATCCCCCCTAATCCACACACTCCTGAACACTACAGGACAATTTCCCATGGCCAATCCACCTAACCTGCACATCTTTGGACTGTGGGAGGAAACCGGAGCACCTGGAGGTAATCCACACAGACACGGGGAGAACGTGCAAACTGCACACAGACAGTCACCCAAGGCTGGAATCAAACCCTGGTCCCTGGTGCTGTGAGGCAGCAGTGCTAACCACTGAGCCACCGTGCTGCCCATTGGAACAAAGGCAGGTATGTGGAGTTAGGCCACAGATCAGCCATGTTCTTGTTGAATAGCAGAATAGGCTCGAGGGGCTGAATGGCCGGTTCCTGTTCATGTTTCCAACTGCCTCCTTAAATAAGGGAGGCATGGTAAAGGTTTCCTTATGCATTATAAGGTGCTTCAGTGTTTGCACGTAACCCCCGTAAGTGTTTATCCAGAGTATTCTCTGTCTGAAATCTGGTGCACGGTTGCATTATGTCTAGGCAGCTTCACTCAACACCACTGGGACAACGTAGGAGCAGATGCTGGAATCTGTACTGTCGGAAATCACAGCGGGCCAGGCAGCATCCGTGGAGAGACAGCAAGCTAACATTTCGAGTCTAAATGACGAGATAACGATCCGTGCACAAGCATATCCCGACCTTCCTGTAGCCGGTCATTTTAACACAGCGTACTGCTCACATGCCCACTTGTCTGTTCTCAGCATGCTGCAGTGTTCCAGTGAATCACAGCGCAAACTGGAGGAACAACATTTCATCTTCAAACTAGGCATTTTACAGTTTTCTGGTCTTAATATTAAGTTCAACATCTTCAGATTGTGAACCAAATCTCATTCCTTCCCTTTCCTTTAGCTTTACTTGTTACATTTTCTGTCACCATGTCCTCCCTCCCCTCACCCCATCCTCCACCCCAATGGGACTATCTTCTCTTTCAAGGCTGGCAGTGAGACATACCATTGTTCTGCCATTCTCACATTCTGATCACTTGATCTGAACTATCAACAATTTTTAACCCCCAGCACTCTACACCCTACTATAGCATAAATACTGCCACCTCCAGACTTCACATCAGCTCTGATGAAGAGCCATCTAGACTCAAAATGTTAGCTTGTTCTCTCTCCACAGATGCTGCCTGACCCACTGTGATTTCTAGTTTTTTTTGTTTTCACCACTGGGATGATGGCCAGACTAGGAGCTGACAGTGTTGGCTGAGGGCAGTGGGAGGTGTTCCTGTAAAACTGGAGCATGATGTATTACTCAATAGTCCAGGCTGCCCTGTGTCAAAGACAACAACAAATCTTGTCCATGTAGCACCTTTAATACAATGTGACAACCCACGCTACTTCACATTATAGATCGAAATACAACACTGAGCCCCATTCGGAGACATTAGGCCAGATAACTTCAATTGGTCAAAGAGGTTGGAGTGACATCACGGAGGAGAATGAGGTAGTGAGGCGCAGGGAGGGAATTCCAGAGCTCAGGCCCCTGGGCAGCTGAGGCCCTGGCCACCAACGATGGAACGTATCGCATTGGGGATTCTCAAGAGGCCAGGTTCCCACGAGGAGCTTGGATATCTCAGCGGAAGGAGATTCCAGGTTTAATGGGGTTGGGGGCGGGGGTGTGATTGAGACCATGAAGGGATTTGAAAACAAGGATGAGAACGTCAAAAAAACTGACACCTACCTGAGCTTTGGAGTTCCCTCCCTACACCTCTCGAGCTTGCTTGAAGACATTCCCACCCCTTTGATTAAACTTCAGCTCATCCTCCCTAATGTCAGTGTGAGGTGAATGGAGCACCTTAAACTCGGGGTGATTTTTCACTCCCCACTCCCCACTCCCCCCAGCACACGCCCACCCGTCCACCAGAAAGACTGGGGCGAATGATCATTAGAATCCTAAATGAAACAGCACAGCAGAACACCATTGCGGCCATTGTGCCAAAGACAGCTCATTGAAAGAACCACCTTTTTGACCCACCTCCTTGCTCCTTCCCTGTAACTTAGCAACATTCTATTTTTCTCCTTTCCCTCAGCAAGGATTTACCCCTATTAAAGGGAACAGTTTGATCTGATTTCAGCATCTTTTCAGACGGTGCGTTGTGGACCATAATTGCTCACTGTACACTTTGGTTCTTTCCTTACCATCTCTCTGGTTCTTTGGCCAACTCTCCACAACTCATATTGTCTGTGGACCATTCTTCCCAACCCCAGAAAGGGTCTGTCTCTCTCCATCTCGGATGGAGATTACCACGGCTAATCCACCTAACCTGCACGTCTTTGGGCTGTGGGAGGAAACCGGAGCACCCAGAGGTAACCCATGCAGACACAGGGAGAACGTACAAACTCCACACAGATGGTCACTCGAGACTGGAATCAAACCTGGGTCCCTGGCACTAAGGCAGCAGTGCTAACCACTGAGCCACCATGCTACCAATCTTTTTAATTTGATTTGATTTGATGTGATTTATTATTGTCTCATCTACCAAGGTAAAGTGAAAGGTATTGTTTTGCACACTAACCAGACAAATCATATCTTACATTAGTGCATCAGGGTAATAGAACAGAATACAGAATATAGTGTGACAGCTACAGAGAAGGTGCAGAGAAAGATTAACTTTAGTATATGAGAGGTCCATTCATAAGTCTGATAACAGCAGGGAACAAGCTGTTCTTGAATCTGTTGGAACATGTTTTCAAACGTTTGTACCTTCTGTGCAATGGAAGAGGGTGGAAGAGAGTATAACTGTGGTGGGAGGGGTCTTTGATGATGTTGGCTGCTTTCCCAAGGCAGCAGGAAGTGTAGACAGAGTCAGTGGATGGGAGGCTGGTTTGTGTGACGGACTGAGCTGTGTTCACATCTCTCTGTAGTTACTTATGGTCTCGGGCAGAGCAGTTGCCGTACCTCTCCACATAACTGAGATCTCTCAGCTCTGATTCCATGTCTGAGGCCTCACCATCTTTCTGCCAGCCGTACTTGAACACTTGAGGCCTAATTGGTGTTTGAGGCTGGCAGGCATCAAGGAGGGGCCCCGGTTCCTTGCCCAGAGAGAATATTGGGCCTCCATGCCAATCCAGCTTTCAAATGGGCTCCGATGTCCAATAGCTGCAGTGAAAAGCCCAAACCTTAATGATCCACAAAACTAGAAAGAAAAATCAATTAATGTAATCAATTAAATAAAAGAAAATAAATTAATGCTTTGCTCTGTTACTCCCGTAACCCAGGCTTTCTAGCATACCTCATCACTGCCTGCATACTCAACTTTCATCGAGCAATCGCCCTCTTGGTCATTACCTGTGTCGTTGCTTTCTTTGTGATTTATGATCTCATCAAGAGATTTCTGGGGAAAAGAATCGCCCACTTCTTTTCACCTGTGGGTTCATGGCTCAAGCAACACTCCAGATGGTTTAAGTGGTAAGTCATTTCCTCTCCGACATTAGAAAGTTTTGCGTGCCTTAATTTCAGAGAATCATAGAATCCCTATAGTGTGGAAAGAGATCATTCTGCCCAATGAGTCTGCACACCCTTCAAAGAGCATCCCACCCTATATCCCTGCATTTCCCATAGCTAATCCACCCAGCCTGCACACCCCTGGACACTATGGGCAGTTTAGCGTGGTCACTCCTCCCAATCTGCACATCTTTGGAGTGTGGGAGGAAACACAGGCAGACACAAGGTGAATGTGCAAACTCCACACAGACATTCACCCTGAGGGTGGAATCGAACCTGGGTCCCTGCGCTGTGAGGTAGCAGTGCTAACCGTTGAGCCACCCAATCTTGGAAGAGCTGGCTTGAGCCCTGTGATGCTTTAAAGAAGAAAACACACTTGCATTTAAACACTTATTTCTGAAGATTGTGTAGACTTTAAAAGCCACTAGGGGCTTTGGGGAGAAAGCAGGAATATGGCATTGAGGGAGAAGATCAGCCACGACCATTTTGAATGGAGGAGCAGGCTTGGGGGAGAGAGGGGGTGCTGAATGGCCTACTCCTGCTCCTAGTTTCTACGCTTCTGTGTTTCCTGGGATTGTCTGGATCTGTTTCAAAGCTAATGAATCGACCTGTTTCCCGAGGAAGACGTTGTGTTAAATGTTGGTTGACAATTGGACCGAAGCCAGTTGGTGAAATGGAAATAAAGGCGCAGGATTTCTCCTGGACAGGGCTTATTCACGTCTTGGCAAGCCTACTGATCTCCTGACTACACTGCCCTTTTGAAGGAACCAAATTAACTGACCAAGCAAAAAAAAAATCAACACAGCCTTCAAAGGGGAACTTTCTCAAGCAAACAAATTGTCAACAGTAGCCTATCAAATAAAATTGAGATATGATGTGGGGGTGACAATTTGGCCCAGCCCCTCTGGTGCCCACCTGTCAAAAAGAATGCCAATGGGCAGCCCACTGGCTGTGGTCACCCGGATATGGATGTAAGTGGGGAAGAGAGACAGGCGGGCAGGTCTAATGTACCCCCACCATGGCCCACTATCTAACCACCTCTGCCAAACTCACAAGCAGCTCCTCCAAATTGCCCAGCCATTTCTGCATGGGGTAGCCAAAGGCCAGGAGCATGGGGCTGAAGTGCAACCAAAGCTTAATTAGAAGCCCCCCCACCTTTAAGTAACAAAGAAGGAGCTGCAATCTGCCATGACCTACATATACACGACCCCCAGAAAGTACAGGCATCCTGAGACTCTGACCTTAATCTCCAATTGCTTGGGACTGCTGCACAATCTCTCCTTCACGACTCCATTAGAGAGAGAGCTCCCCACCATGGGTGTGTGCACCTTCTAGTTGACCATAGGAATACGAAGGCATGCCTGGACTGTCAGAGAGGATGAAGGATGTGCAGGAACAAACTGCTCAGGAAAACCCTCCTGGAGAGCGGATTGCCCTCCAAGGGGTCTCTGTGCAAGACTGCTCAACTTGTAGAGGTCCCCTTTTGATATAGCTCAAGAGACGCTTCATTAAAACCAATTCTTTTAATTTTACTTACTCTCCCAATGTTGGCTCTAGTCCCCAGATGGTAGTAGGGTGTGTGTGTGTGTGTGTGTGTGTGTGTGTGTGTGTGTGTGTGT